GCAACAAATATCTTGTCGGGGGGAAACTCACCACATGATCTAAAGATGGCTTGAGGCTTTCATAATCTTTCTCAGTTCTGGCATAGGACGATGATGGCTCTTTCTTTTCAATTTCTGCCTGTTTTCTTCCTGCAGCAAAACTTCTCTCTGGAATCTATAAAAGGCTTGCAAAGTAGGGAAATGTTGCATTTCCTCCTTTCTTTGGGGAATTTAGCACTGATGTCAAATGTGACCCTATTCAGGGAAGGATGCTGGAGCAGCTGCTTAAGCTGATATGTTCTAGGTTTCATTGACTTGGAGACATTGGTGCTATCCTGACTGGAAGTTTTTAATTGCTAAATACTATTTATATTACTGTAGTTCATAGGACCCTAGGAGCTACAGAATCCCTTTTGTGCTTAGCATTGTACAAACGCCCAAAGCTCTACAAAAACGCATTCACCTCTTGGTTTATAGCTAGACAAATAATGCCCAACACTACTTTGTGAACAAAAAAGCAGAAGTACGTAAGGAGCAAATAAAAATGGCTTAATTCTGGCTGTGTGATAAGCGGGTATCACAAAGGCTTGCAGTGGTGGAGCTTTTTTTGAGGCTCTGAGGAGAGACATTAACTTCTACCCAGGCTTTTTAACCAAAGAAGGAAACGTTAGTTCTGTGAGCCCAAATATTCATTAGTGGTCTTCCCTCAAGCTTCCCTCAAGCAGAACATTTCACATCTGGTTTAGTTTTTCCTGCACTAGCAAGAGGTTTTTATTTTCTGGATTATGAAGCAATATATTGGTGGCCTCTTTCTGGTCAGGATGAGCCTAGCTGCCTATTATAAACTTTGTTTGCCCACCTCTCCAAACACCTCAAATAAAACTTGCTTAAACCACTAAACTAAACCAGCAGTAATGTCACATACAGATTCCTATGCTAGACTAAATTATTGTTGAAATTTTTAAAGCAAAATTGGATAAAAATTGTTGAATACATTTTTTGTTTCTTTTGCAGTCTTTAAGAAAAATGGCATTTCACTTTTGAAAATATGTTTGCCTTGTCGCATCTCAAACAATTTGACAAATTAAATACTTTACCGTATTTGGTGGCTCTTAGCAGCAATGGGTACTGTGGATTAGTTTTGAGCAGGGATCCTGGTTTTCTGTGATACAAAAATTGCAAATTCTCTTTTTTTTCACTGCCCCCCCCCCCAAAAAATCCATGATTAAACTGAAAGGCCCCCCTGGCCCTGCTCCTGCCCCTCACTCCCTCCCCACAGCCCCCTGGCTCCTCTGTGCCCCAGCCTGCCAGAGGGGGCTCCCAGCTGCCAGGGCTATGAGGCCCAGGTGCCTGGGTCTGCAGCCCCCTGCTCCTGGCAGGAGGCAACAGAGTGCAGCTCCCCCGTGCTTCTTGTCCACTGTGGGCTTTGGCGGGGTGGGGAGCTGCTTCCCACTGCAGTGTGCACTCCCAGGGGGAACCCATGACCCCCACACCTGTGTGCGGAGTGGGGGCTGCATGCTGCGGGCTTCTGCCCTGCTGCCCTCCCCTGGTGGCTCTGCAACCCGGCGTATGTGACCCAGCAGCACTGCAAAGAGCAGCACAGCCACACAGGAAGCTGCCTGCTGCTGTGAGTTCTGCTCTGGTGAGGTATCCCCTGCCTGTGTGGCTGCAGCGTAGGATGGGGGTTGGGGTGGGGATGGACAGTGCAGGTTTATGCGCAGGGGACATGGGCAGCACAGAGCTTGCAGTGTCAGGCAGCTTCCTGTGTAGCTCTGCTGTTCCCTGCCATGCCAGGTCATACATGCTGGGCTGCGGAGGCCCCAGGGGAGGGCAGCAGGGTGGGAAGCATGAGCCTGAAGTGGGCAGTGCTCAGCCCCTGCCCCACACACAGATCTGGGGGGGGGGGCACGGGTTACCCCCTGCCCTCCTGAGAGTGCATGCAGCTGCATGGAGCTGGCCCTGGCTCCCCTCACCACCTTCCCCCACCCCTCCCATCCCCCTGTCCCTCAGATGAGCCACCTGCAGCCTCGTCCCACTTTCTGCTGGGGCCCTGCAGCTGCGTATTGCGGGCACAGCCTGGCTGAGCAACAGCCCCAGCGCTTCCCAACTCCCTATGGGGGCCTCAAACATGCTGGCCGTCCCGCCCCCCCGGCCCCTGCCGCACACTTTCCTGTGGGAGCTGCTCTTCAGGCTGCCTGGGGCCATGTGCATATACATGTAGGTAGCACCCCCTGTCTTAACTGCCCTCCTCCCACTCCTTCCCAGCCCCCTACAGGCTGGAACTCTGCCAGCCTGCAGGGGGCTCGTTGCAAAACTGCAAAATCTGCGGGTTTCTCCAGTAAAATGAGAAATCCACATTTGCCTCTGGTAAAAAGTAAAATCTGTGATTTACTCAGTTTTTCCATGGGAAACGGAAAACCCGGATCCCTAGTTTTGAGGCATACTTACATTAGTGCTCTGTGCTTCAGACACTTGCATTCTGTTCTGACAAGTGCTTTTGCAGAATCAAGCCCTTGGTCATTAAAAAGTCTTTTGCTTTGTAGGGCCCTGGGAAGTTCTCACGTTCTACTTAAGAGATTGTGGAAGACTGAACAGTGCAGTCCTAGCTCCAGAGCCTGCATGAAAATGGTGCTCAAGCACTTGCCTGTTCTGCTAGATTGGTTGGTTAGCCTGGGTTGAAAGAACCCCCCACAACTGAGTGGGCTTGTTTGTGTTTGTGAATGGGAGGGTGTTTCCTTTGCAAGGATGACTCGCCTTAATTGTGGCCCATCTTACCTTTTTTGCCTAGGCTTGTGTAGTGCTGGAGAGCCAGAAAATTCTGGAGATGACTTTTAGCATTTTTTTTGTCATTTCTACATAGGCAGTGTAGTTAGTGTCTGTTCTTTTAAAACAGGAACTCAGACAAGGATTGGGCTTGAGAGGAAATTAAGGCTGGAGACAGAAGTGACAATTTTTGCTCTATCTGGCTACAGAAAGTGGTCTCTAGCCATGACCAAACACAAGTGCATGGCTGTAGACCGCTTAAAAAGTGGGCAGTCGGGCAAAAATCTGAACCCTCATTGCATGAGGGGTCAGATGAAGACCTTTCAAAACATGTAGCATCTTCTGTAACTTGCCCCTACCACCCTGTTGCTGTTGTCAGAATAAGAGGAGGAAAAGGAGTGGAGGGAGTTCCATCTGGGGGGTTTTCAGCCCCTGCTTGAGGTTTGGGTGGGTGAATTGGAGCCCCCTCCAACACCAGCTGGGGAACCCCTAGAACTACCTCCCTCTGCAATCTTTCCCCTCTTCTATTCTGAAAACAGCATGTGCTCACGGGGAGGGCGGGGGTCATTGCTAGGGGAAACAAGCTGGAGGCTGGAGCCAGCAGCTAGATTCCCTGTGGAACCAACAGTGAACTTCTGTTTGGTCCAGGGGATGGTTGTAACTCTGAACACTTCCTGCATAATGTTCTGAGTTGTAGCAGGGAGCTGCACTTCTGTCTGCCCTAAGTTGATTAAATACTCTTGCAACATGTTTCAGAGACTTTTTAGAGAAAGCTCTTGGAATAAGTCTTAGTCCTTGAATTTTTATATAAGCAAAAGAGAGGTTAATTGGATTGCAGCATCTGTAGGTATTATAGCACCTCTAAAATAATCCCCTGGAATAGTTGGTCTGAAGGTGTCTAAAGGTAGACACCTGTTCTTAGATGCACACTGTGGATGGGTAGCTCTGATTCCTGTTCTTGGGGCCTGAAACACAGCCTGCTTCCTCACATTTCCCTGCCACACCTTGTTGGAAAAGAAATGGGAAGTTGTTGGTTGATAGTCATATGCTGAAGACTGCAGCTTCGTAGCCCTGATGGATCTCCTTCACAGGCTTCCAACCTCCCCTTTACCTTGTCATTGTCCCCCCCTGTTGGTGCAATCAGCATTTTTCACCCATAATCCTCAAAGCAAGGGTCACAAGATATCCCCAGTGATCTGACCTGTGCATTCCGGGTCTCACCCCCTTTTCTTTCAGTCCCCTAAGGGTGACCCCTCATCTGAACCCAGGTGAGGGTACTGTTCTTTCCCTCCACCTTTCCCTGAATATTTATTAAAGTCCGTAAACAGTCTTACCTGGCGTGGGTTAGGATCCCTGCCCCATGAATCTAGGTTTCCTATAGTAGTTTAGTGCTCTTGGCTGACTGAAGTCCTTTGGCAGCTGCATCTCACTGACCCATCTCACTGCACCATTCATCTTGGGTTCTCTTAAGCCTGGCAGTCAGTGCTCAGTCTAGTGCTGTGCCTCTGTACCGGCCTGTACCACTCTGATTCCAGAGACGCTGCCTCTTCTCCCCTCTCTTGGGGAGCACTGAATCCCTGAGCTTCTAATTTAAACAGGCCTGCTTCTACGTGGTCCAGTCAGGTCCCACTTCTCATGCACCACGTGGTCGCTGTAGCCAGGGAATCCCCTGCTTCCAGAGCCTAGTCGCTTCCAGGTTCATCCCTGGCTGCATACTCTGATTGCCAGGTGGAGCTAGGGGCCTCCACCATGATGGGTCTGCTTTATTTCAGAACCCTGGCTGGCTTTCCTGGAGACCTGACCCTGGCCAGCTTGAGATGCATCTTCCAGCGGGGTGTGGACTCCTTGTGGGGCTCAATATCCGGAAGTGGCAAGCCTGGCAAACGCCATGTTCTCACACATAACGAGCCAAGGATTGGCTCTCTATTATGCATGCATATGTGTGCATCTACCTTGTTTACATGTGTAAATATCCATGTGGTTTTAAAGGAACTTTCATATTATATGCATACCCAGGAAAAGTATTTACAGATCTATAACTGTAATAAAACATGCTTTGTTTGTTATCTAATCAAGCAGTTTAAACAAGAAAATAGACCATTATGGCCAACCAATAGAGACTGGGTAGCTGTGTGCTGTAGGGGAAGATTCAGGAATTCGTAAATAAATACACATAAATGCATCTTTCTTTATTTGTTATTTAAAAAATCTGTTCATGATAGTGATCTAATATTATGCTGTCCTGATTTAACTTCCAGGCTAATCTGTGCTTTGTGGACATAGATAACCATTTCATTGAGCTGCCAGAGGATTTACCCCAATTCCCAAATAAACTTGAGTTCATTCAGGAAATCTCTGAGATCCTAATGGCTTTTGGAATTCCACCTGAGGGAAATTTGCACTGCAGTGAAAGTGCCTCCAAGATGAAGAACCTCAGAGCATGTGACATAGTTTCTGATAAAAGAAATGGGAACATAGCAGGATCACCTTTGAATTCCTATGAACTGCTAAAGGAAAATGAGACGATAGCAAGACTTCAAGCGCTTGTCAAAAGAACAGGAGTGAGTCTAGAGAAGGTATGTAATGGAACTGCATGCAGTTTCTGTTATGGCATTGCATACCAGACGTGTGAGGAAAAAGGAGATTCAGCATGTAGTGACCTGTCTGGCCTTGCCTTCATTAGGTGGACTTTTATTTTAATATTTTTAGCATCTTAGGTATGTTTACATGTTAGCATCTTGGAAGAGACGAGGGTCAGTTTTAACACAACTAAGCCCTTTGCTTCCTTTTACTGTTTTATTTCACCTACCTAATATCACTTGCCTTGTCTACTCTAAGGTTTTAACGTGTTAAACAGGTGCCTTTTTTAAGTTGGGTGATCTCATATATAAAAAAAAAAAAAAAAAAGGCAGCCACTTACTGATTTAATCCTTGCTTTCACCCTCTCTTGGTATTTTTCTGTCTCAGATTTGCTACTTGTAGAACTATTTGCATATAACTTGCCTGCTTTGGTGATTGTGGCAAGGCTTGCTTCATTAATGCTGTTTATATGCTGTAAAGTACTTTAGTGATGTGATTTCTTTCCAGAGACACAGTGTGTAGATGTAGGTCAGGGACATCAGCTGGGCATGTAGAAGCTCAGTCCCTCCAAAAATTGGGTCCTTACTGTATCTGTGCTCTTTTTGGAAGATTTTGAGTTTGCTTGTATTCTTTAAATTGGGGGAGATTTTCAGCAAACTCTAACTCCTATATGCTGTTTAGATTGGGGATTGTTCCCCAGCTGCATCCCCTTTTGTAAAGTTGTTGGTCTAAGGACATAGGCAGGCAAGGTTCTTTGGGTAGATGTAATATCTTTTATTAGACCAATTAAATAGCTGGAAAAAAAGTTCTCTGCAAGCTTTTGGGCACAAACACCCTTCTTCAGGCAGGAAGGGTGTTTGTGCCCAAAAAGGCATAATCATAGCTGTATATTAAAATGGGTGCCATAAACTTGTCATGGAAGATTCCTGAAGTTAGGGAAATTGCTTACTACCCATGCACAGGAACTTATTTTGATTATATGTCTCTGAATTAGCATGAAGGTCAATACCTATTGGATTGTAGCAGTGCTAAGTATGGATTTATGATACTGTACATTGAAGAAATACACATTGGTGGTACTCTAACAACCTTTTGCAAGTTTTCATTTTGATGTCAAAAGTAACAAAGGCCTGAGATGAGCATGTTAATATTACCTCCATCTTCTGAAAATGTTTCTAGTGCAGTCAGAATTAAAAATGAAGTCTGCTTACTATTGAAGCTATCATCTCATTGAGTTAAATGTTCTTTCCAAAAGCACTGTGCAGGATCTTGTCAGTTGAAATGCCTTATGTTGATCTGAGGAATAACATTTGGATAACAAACTTAGATATAAGCTTGCATTTCTTGTACATCCCATAAAGGCAAAAATATGTTTTGTTCTTGTATGTTTCCCCTACTCTCTCAGCTGGAGGTGCGGGAGGAGACGAGTAGCAAAAAGGATCTAAAAATCCAGTGTGATGAAGAAGAATTCAGGGTTTACCAGCTGAATATTCAGATCCGGGAAATTTTTGCCAACCGTTTTACACAGATGTTTGCAGATTATGAAGTATTTGTTATTCAGCCCAGTCAAGACAAGGAGTCTTGGTTTACAAACAGGGAGCAAATGCAGAACTTTGATAAAGTAAGTTTTTGAAAAGCCATGCAGAAGGGTGTGTTTGTTTTTTGTTTGTTTTTTCATAAGCACTAATCAGGGCTCAAAACAAGTGATTACAATTGGTCAGAAAATAGGGAGAACCTTGTGATTCTTCTTTAAATAAATTTATATCATCTTTCAGAAGATCTTATTTATAATTTGAAACCACTCAAGGGATAGTTCGTAGAAACCAAGGTATAGATTAGAATGGAATTAGCTTTAACATAAAATTACAGGTTAAACACATTTAACATAACAGTAGAGCAGTTCTGCCAGAAGAGTTTTAGAATATGTTCAAAGGAAGACTATGATCATGCAAAGCACTTATACCTATGCTCTAACTTTTGCCTTGTGTTTCTGTGGTTTTCCAGAAAAGAACCTAAGGTTTCAGTTCTTTTCAGCTCTTACTGTTATGTCCCTTAGTCAGAGTTTACCTGTTTCATGTGAATGGGACTGCTGACATGAGTGAGGGTTGCTGGACTGGACACTAAGGGCATTTTT